GAACAACTGGTGCATTTGGGGACAAAAGTCGAGTCCCCATTTGGTTTAAATGCCATTGGTGGGTGGGAGGTTTGGTTTAGGACCAAGATGTGAATTGAGTTTAGGTTATTTTTAGGGTCAGGAACCTGTGAGGTTAGCCTTAGGGTTTGTGGTCAGGGTTAGGCTGTAGAAATGTAATGGAAGTCAATGGAATGTCTCCAATTGGATAGCTGTGCAAACTTGTGTGTGTTTGAGGTGAAAAATGTCTCACAGTTACAAAGAAACAAATAGTATTTGACCCTTTTGACCCTTTTACCCTTCATTTGGACTGCCGGGTCAAATTGACCTGAACACTATGTGTCGTGGCAAGAATGGTCAGAAACACGGCGAAAAGGCGTTAAAGAGACAAATAGTCTTGCGGGTATGATCATAAGTCATTTATTAATTTTGTTAACTCGATGATGACGTCCGGAGGATATCACAAGATATGAAAAGTGGACAGTGTCAAGGTGATACAGAAATAAGTATTCCACAACACTATGTAATACTGTATGTTGACGCAGGGCAAGGGGGGTTACAAAAATGTAAAATGAACCATTTTCATTTGATATGTAAATAATACCTATTAAGACAAATAGAAAAAAGGTTCACAGAGAAAAAATACTTTATTTTAAAAAAGTTTTAAGCCCAAAGTGGGGCCCGCGGGCCAAATTTGGCCCGCCAAGCTATTTGATTTGGCCCACCAACAGTTGCCAAAGTTACAAGGTTGTAACCTGTTATGTAGAAACACAGTATTTTCATWGGTCAAATGACTATATAAAACAGCTGTAATGAAGGTAATTTTCATTCATGGTGCTGACTTTATCTTTGTTTTATTAGGATTATACATGAAACATGACATGACAACAAGAAATATTTAGATCAGATTTAACCCCACATGTAGATTTGCACACTTYATAAGGCCACAAAAACTCGTATTTTATCAATTTATGAAATGTTCCATGAGCCTTTGCTACTTGAGTGTATGGCAGACTTTCTCCAAGTGCACAGACTAAAACAAAAGAGGGCCCCTGCATAGCTTAATCATTAAAAACAAAAGACTTTACTTTAAAAAGTATTTGTATTTCATGCATTATATAACTGCATTTGGCCCACAGCCCTGGATAGATTTTCATTTTGGCCCTCTCGGGGAAAATGGGCACTCCTGCTCTAATATAACAGGAGGGTTAAACCAACAAGGTACATTWAAAAAAATTAAAAAGCAAAGTTATGAAATAATTCCTAAACATACTCAAACATGCTTGAACATGACACTTTCTCTTTCTGTTTTTCTTTCAAATGCTGTGGGGCTGTTTAGTGCAGCAAATTTACTTTTGCTTTCATTTCCTTCATTTTACTTTCAGTATCTAACATGTGAGGAAATTCTTGATTTACACTCACAGTCATTTAAGCCTTTTTTTTTTTGTTTTTAGCTTTTTAGCAAATGAGATAACTAGTTGTATCATTTAGGGTTAAAAACCTATTGCAACTTCATCATTAACCACTAGTGCCTTCACCCTCCCCCACACAAGTGCACACATTCTTAAAGCTTAAAGTTAATGCAAGTAGTGACTTCTTTAAGAAATTAATCACTATAATTTCTAACAGATTTGTCTRTTTAGCTCCTATAACTCAAAATTAAGAGCAAAGGACAACATGTAAGTTTGAGATATTTCCATCAATAGTTTCAGTCTTACCTTGTTTCTTGTAAACAGCTCGAGGATGGTGAGCAGAGATCACAGACAGKGTAAAAATCTGAACTAAAACATTTCTTCTAAAGTCAAATAAAAACTTGATGATCAACCTGCTCAGAGTAATGTGAAAGTGTTAGTGAGGTACAGCCAGCCAAAGTAACTGTGTTTTAAAGTGAGCTTTCACTTTCAGCAGGTCTTTTTTTTTTTTTTTGAAGCCTTAAAGGGGAATTCTACAGGAATTCAGAAACTAATGCTGTTTGAGCTGCAGAACTTGAAATTCTGAAGTTGGACTTATGTCAGTTCAGAGATGAAAACATTCCAGTTTGACAGAGTTTCAGAAAAAGCATTTCACTCTTTTTTTTTGCTCTGCAACAGTAGCCGTGTTTCCATCCAATTTTAATTTGGATTTTGAGCGAATTTTTTAAATACTGCAAAAAGGAAAAATGAAATCAGACGTGTTTCCATAAATGGCTTGAAGCGAATCAACAAGGCTACGCGCATGGCTGTAGTAAACAGGAAGTAAAGTCGYAAACTCGCAGGGACTACACATCTCAGGACAATGCAGAGAAATGATCAGGAATGTGTTGCTACTATCAGGAGTTGTAATTATTCTGTCATACCAACTAGTTTTGGTGATGTTACATGATGTCTGGAGATGTAGAGAAAGAAATCAGGGCTGCCAACTTCTCAAAAAACACGATTGAGATGGGGCAGGCCGGGGTGTGGACAGTTCAGTGGTAGGGTTGGGAGGTGTTTCACCTGTTCCTGCATCCTGTTGGCTACATCCTACACTAGAAAATGTCTGTAATGACTACTTTATAGACCTTTCAGGTTTAAAGGTTAAGTATGTCAGTATTAAACATTTTCTTGATCGGATGTTTTTTCTGAGAGAAACCCACACTGAGCCTCCTGTCACAGCTGTGACGTCTCAAAATAGCACACTGAACACAACGCACACACACAGCCTGACTGAAGGAAAATGAAACCACAACTAAACCCTGTTCCTCTTACTTCACAGAGGGATGACTAACTAACACATAAAAGTCACATAGCAAGTTACAAAAGCCAATAAGCAAAAAATGTTTGTGTGCACATATGTATAAATGTATATATTACCACGCAATGCGTGTATGTATGTATGGCCCCTAATGACTTTTATTTTATTTGAACTATGAGTGAACCTGTCTGGGCAGAAAGTCCTGCTTTCCACACAATAGAGCACACCCTAAAACGCAGGCAGTGCCCCGGAGACACACAAACATGTTTACCACACAAAGCTGTTTTTAACAAGTGAAGTAAGGATGACATCATTTTTCCCATCCTTATAAGGAGTTGCTGAGAAGTTAATTTAAGAACAACTCCTGACTGAAACACGTTCTGCAGTAATGACTTCATGTACCTCACCTTGTCTTGGTGATGATAGAACGGGGCCTTAAATTTTTGAGCATAAAAGTTTCTTGTTTCACCACATTTTCCTGTTAGCTTACTAGCCATGGACCTAATTGTGTAATTTGGACTAAATCTCACATCCACATCTACAGGTCTGCAGTTCTCTTGTAGCCCTGTGGAAATCTCTTGCCCCACACTGAATATGTATACATGAATGCATGCTTTACAGAGAAATTATAATTAATTTTATTATTATATGTATTTTTGTTGCAATGTTTTCTTGTATCCAGTGATTTTCAGGTGAGCGGACAGGTGTCGGGTGTGTGGCTTTGTGTTTTCTTGGTGTATATTTAATAGATTTCTAATCTCTATCAATCTTTCTAATAACATTTCCTCTTTGTTTTCCCTCTTTTCCTATTTTCTCTTTATCTAAAACAAATTCACTGATGATGAAGAAATTAAGAAACTAATATTAAGTTCTTTTTTCTACTGAAGTGAAGAAAAAAAAGAAAGTGTGGTGTCAGTATTTTTTGATATAGAGAAGGCATATGACATGTTGGAAGGTTTATTTATTAAATTACATCTTTTAGGTGTTAATGGGAAAAAGTTTAAATGGATACAGATTTTTTTATCAAACAGGACAATACAAGTTAAACTTGGTCAGAAAATATTGAGTAGAAAGTGGAACACCTCAAGGAAGCATTGTCAGTCCAATATCATTTTCAATAATGATAAACAACATCTTTATAGATACTGGAAAAGAGCTGGGTTGTTCATTTTTCGCAGATGACTTAACTATATGGAAAAGAGGCCAGAATATAGAATATATTACTAAGAAAATACAAAATACTATAGAGAAATTGGGCATTCAAATGAGGATTTAAGTTCTCTGTTGAAAAAACTAAAGTTATGATATTCACACAGAAAAAAAATCAGACAGGAAATAAAACTGAAGTTATACAATCATGAATTAGAACAAGTGAAATTAATAAAGTTTTTAGGAATTTGGTTTGATGAAAAAAATTCAATGGAATATTCATATACAGAAAATAATAGACAAATGTAAAAAAAAGTTTTAAATATGCGATGTTTAGCTGGCAGTGACTGGGGAGCAGACAGGGGAGCATTAAAAAACATTTACACTGGGATAATCAGCTCAAACATGGATTATGGAAGTGTAGTTTACGGTTCAGCAGCAAAAACACATTTAAAGAAATTAGAAATTATTCAACATCAAGCATTAAGAATTTGCACAGGAACATTTAAGCCCAACCCAACAACAGCGAAGTCGAAATGGGAGAATTACCATTAGACCTGAGAAGAACCAAAGTGATGTTAAATTACTGGCTCAATTTAAAAAGCAATAATCCGGATCACCCAACTAGACATTTTAAGAGCATGATGGGAAAAGGAAAAAAGACAGGAAGTTTTGGGTGGGTGATTAAAGAGAAAACAGAGATTAAATTCATAATCTAACAATAAGTCTAATGTTGCTGCTGTTAGTAATACCACCCTGGATTCTTCCAGAAGCTACAGCTGATTTGACATTAATAACCATTTTCAATTCACATACAGTGCAGGAATATAACAGCTATTATCAGTACATTCAAATATATACAGATGCATCAAAATCAGAGAAAATAGGAGTTGCATTTATAGTTCCAGAATTTCAAATGAAAGTAGGCAAAAGAATCACTGACAATTTATCAGTTTATACAGGAGAAATGATTGCAGTATTATTAGTCATACAGTGTGTAGAAGATGTAAAACCTATAAAAGCCATAATCTGCTCAGACTCATGTTCAGTATTATCGGGTATAAAAAAAGCAATCATTCAGACAGCAGGCCAGACATTTTACTAGAAATAAGTCACACATTTTTCAGAATACAAAGGATGGGAATAAATGTTGTTTTACTTTGGGTAGGGGTAAGTGTAAATGAGAAAGCAGATAAAGTGGCAAAGAAAGCAATTCAAAGTGTTATAATTATGACAAGTTAATCTGAAGCAAGAAGCGTAATTAAAGAAAGACTGAAGAAAGAATGGCAGAAGAGATGGGAGGGCGATAACAAAGGAAGGTTTCATAAAATCCAAACAGTGGTAGCAGAAACCAGAACTGGAAGAAGTAGAAAAGAAGAAAGTATAATAACAAGATGTAGATTAGGACATACAGGACTTAATTATACACTTTTTACAATACACAAACATAATACATGGAAATGTGATTATTGTGGACAGAATGAAATGATAAAACATGTTATAAAGGAATGTCAGAAGTACAAACAAGAGAGAAGATTTATGATAAGACAGTTAGAAAACATTAAGGACAGGTTTGACATAATAGACACACCGCAAAGAAATTTATGGAGCAAACACGTATACAATTTTTGAAAAAGACAGAATTGTTTAACAGAATTTGAGTTTGTAGTAGTACATTTTTAATTTATCTATCTATCTG